GGCCTCCGCCTGGGAGAGCCTCGCTGGTGGCTCATGGTCAGGGAGGCATTTACCACCTGAGCAGGGTTTCCAAGGCATGCAGGTCCTGAGGGGAATGGCCGGCAACTGGGGTCACTGGGACAGCTGGTCCCCAAGGCGTTGGACTTGAAAGGCATGTCTGTGGCACCGGCCCAGGGTGTCGAGGGCTGGGTCCTGTGTGTGCCAGGATGGCCCCACGGCATAAGCTCATGGCAGGGTGTGTTGAGAGGCCAAGCATGGCAAGTTTGGCAGGCCATGGGGGCGCGGGAGCCCCAGCCTGAGGCAGCAGCAATCCCTGGACGAGTCCTTCTCTCACTGACATATGTGGAGCGGCCCCTGGCTTGGGCTGCTGGGCCAAGGCAAGAGGCCAGGATGTGGCACCTACCAGGTTGGGAACATCGGCCCTGCCAGGTGCCACACAAGGCAGCAAACAGTGCCAGTGCTTTGGGCCCAGGGTGGAAGTCAGGATGCCGTGCCGGCCAAAGGCCTGGAAGGTAATGGCACGGTCCAAAGGGGACCACGCCCTGGGGGAGTGCCTGGGCCTGCTCAGCCCTGGTGCCTTGTTGCGTTCCCAGGTCAGTTGTGGGTTACGTAGAGGCCTGCGGCCTCCTCTTGTGGATGGCAAAGTGTAGCTCCCAGGGCCAGCTTCAGGGTGCACTGGTGTGGCACGGCGGTCTCCGTCCTGAGGGCCCTCCTGGCTGCTGGGCTCCGGAGGACGGGTTCCCAGTGGTGGTGTTCCTCAGGGATTTCAGCAGGGCCCTGGCCAAAGAAGCTACTCTGGCTGGGCCTGCCACAGAAACCTTGTCTCCTTGGCACCTTGCTGGTAAGGCAAAAGTGATACTCTTTGATGGTCTCTCCCTTGGAGTCGGGCACAGTGTGTTTCACATCCTCTTGGGTGGGCCACAGATTCCTCTGTGGTGGCCTGGAAGCCAGGCGGGCATGAGAGTTCTGAGGCCAGGTGTAGTACCTTGGCCCCATGGGCCGCTTGGAAAAGGTCAGCCTCCCCTTGGGAACAAGATGTGTTCTCCTCTCAGTGTGCCCCTGGGCTGTGGGGCTGTAGCCTAGCGCTCTCTGTGAGGGCCATAATGGTGTTCCTGGGCCGTGGGAAGGGGCCACGTCACCTGCAGAGGGCCACATCTTTGCAAAGGCCAAAGCCTGTGGGCAGCTGCCCTCCCTAGAGCATCCTGCCACTGACAGGGGCCTGTGTTGGGCGGAGGGCACCAGAGGGACTTTCTGTGCGATGCTATTTCCCTTGTGCCTGGGACCCTGGCGCACACTGGACCTGGCCTCGCCCACGCCCCGGGCGAGAAAGCGCCTGTGGTTCGTCAGGATTGGTACTGGATTCAGTGGAGACAAGACCGGTGTAGCCTAGCCACTCAGGGCATACTGGCAGAGTGAAGAGAAGCAGGCAGCTGTTGTCGTGTGGCCGTCTTGGAGGGCTCTGCATTGGCTTCTGCCCCGTAGCCTGAGGACCAGGGCGGCCAAATTCCCTACAGGTGGTTGTTGGGTTTTCCTTTGACTCCTGAGTTTCCATCCCATCCTGGCGTCCACGGTCCACGTTGACAGGGTGGCTAGTGGTGGGAGAGGATGCGTGTCTGGGCCAGAGGGCTCTGCTTGGCCAGAGTGGCTTTGGGAGAGGGAAAACCTGCCCAACGTTAGTGGCCCAGAGGCATCCAACATGGCTCCCTGGTGTGCAAGGCCACTGAGCGTGTGCCATTGCTTGGCAGGACACCGGGGCCAGGATCTGCACACCAGGCATGCATGCCCTTGCAGGTACTCAGGCCTCCCAACTCAGCAGCCCCATACACCCCCTCCCAGCCTCCCAGCACACATGACCCTCCATGTACACGAAGAGACACATGCTCCTGCTCCCATAGTGCCCTGCGCCCGTGGCTTGTTGCCCATCTGCAGGCAGCCCCAAGAGGCCGAGGGACAGGACAGGCAGACAGACGCAAGGCATAGTCACAGATTCCTTCTGACCTGTGTGGCGAGCAGAGCCCCTGGGTAGCTTGGTCACGCCCGTGGGTGATTGCTCCCCCTTTCTCAGGTGCAGTGGACACACCAGGCTCGCCATCGGCGGAGAGAAGAAGGCCTCCCTGGTCTCCGAGTGCCTGTGGTTGGGGGGACTGCTGGAAGAGGTGTTGCCCGCAACGGGCATCTTGCTGACTGGAGCGAGAAGACGGTAAGCCATCTCTGTATCAGTTGTGCCGCTGGCTTTAGGCTTTCACAAGCCTGTCCAAAAGGCCACTAAGGAAGGTTGCTGGCAGGACATGTGGGGTTTTGAACCCAGAGGGGCCTGTCCTTTAATGGCTCTGCACGTCCTGGGCCATGGGAAGACCCTGAGTCCTTCAGCTTGTCCCGCTGAGCCATCTGGCCCACCAGGGTTGGCTGTGCAGGTGGCCCCGAATGTGCTCGGATCGATGATGACTCCCTCAACAGCATTCCTTGGAAAGCTGAACAAAATGAGTGAGAACTCCCTACCGTCTTTCTCGTCGAAACTGAGGTCCAGCACATTGTCTACCCCAGGGAAGGTGAGCGTCAGGGACAGCAGGCTTCCCCTTGGTCACACTCCTTCAAGCACCAGCACCCACAGCCTCTGCCTAGGAGAGCCTCACGGGGGACTCATGGTCAGGGAGGCATTTACCACCTGAGCAGGGTTTCCAAGGCATGCAGGTCCTGAGGGGAATGGCCAGCGACTGGGGTCACTGGAGCAGCTGGTCCCCAAGGCCTTGGACTTGAAAGGCGTGTCTGTGGCACCAGCCTGGGGTATCGAGGGCTGGGACCTGTGTAGGCCAGGATGGCCCCACAGCATAAGCTCGTGGCAGTGTGTGTTGAGAGGCCAAGCATGGCAAGCTTGCCTGGCCTGTGGGTGGGGGTGCAGAGGCCCAGCCCAAGGCAGCAGCGATCCCTGGATGAGCCCTTTCTTTCCCTGACGTATGTGGAGCAGGCACCTACTCTGGCTGGTGGGCTAAAGCAGGAAACCAGGCTGCAGTACCTGCCAGCGTGGCATCCTCAGCCCTACCAGGCGACAAACAAGGTGGCAAACAGTGCCAGCACTTCGTGCCCAGGGCAGAATACAAGTTTCTGTGCTGGCCATTTGCCTGGATAATAATGGCACAGTCCAGAGAGGGCTGTGCCCTGGGAGACCGCATGAGCCTGCTCAGCTCAAGTGTGTCATAGCGTTCCCAGGTCTTTCATGGGTTCTGCAGAGGCCTCAGGCCTCCTCTTGACAATGGCAAAGTGTGGCTCCCAGGGCTGGCTTCAGGGTGCACGGGTGTGGCACGGCGGTCCCCCTCTTGAGGGCCCTCCTGGCTTCTTGACTCCTGAGGAAGGGTACCCAGTGGTTGTGTTCCTTGGGGCTTTCAGCAGGGCTCTGGTCAAAGAAGCTACCATGGCCAGAGACCTTGTCTCCTTGTCACGGTACTGGTGAGGTGAAAGGGATATTCTGAGTCTCACTTGGACTCAGGCACAGTGTGTCTCATGTCCTCTCTGGTGGGCTGCAGACTACTCTGCGATGGCCTTGCAGTCAGGCACGGGCCTGCGAGGTCTGAGGGCAAGCCCAGTACCTCGGCCCCATGGGCTATTTGGAAGACATCTGCCTCCCCGTGGGAAGGAGATGTATTCTCCTCTCATTGTGACCCTGTCCTGTGGGGCTACAATCTAGCGCTCTCTGTGAGGGCCACACTGGTGTTCCTAGCCTGTCAGAATGGGCCACGTCGCCTACAGAGGGCCACATCCTTGCAAAGGCCAAAGCCTGGGGGCAGCTGCTGTCCCTGGAGCATCCTGACACTGATGGGACGTCCGTTGGGATAAGGGCAACGAAGGAACTTTCTGTGAAAACAGGAACACACTCCTGAGGACGGGCAGCCCAGTGGATGCTCGTTCCACTGCAGCCTAGGGCCCTGGTGCCCATTGGCCCTGGACTTACTGACACCATGGGCAGGAAAGCGCCCATGGTTCGGTCGCATTTGGCACCATATTCGGTGGAGGCTAGGACCATGTAGCCTAGCCATTCAGGGCATTCTGGCAGAGTGGAGAGGAAATGCACCTGTTGTTGTGTGGGTGCCTCGGAGGGCTCAGCTTTGGCTTCAGCCCCGTAGCTGCAGGCCAGGGTGGCTGGCCTAACTGTGGGTGGTTGTTAGGTTTTCCTTGGACCCTTGAGTTTCCATCCTGTGCTGGGGTCCACGGACCACAATGACAGGGTGGCCAGTGGAGGAAGAGGATGCATGTCCGGGCCGAGGGCACTGCTTGGCCAGAGTGGCTTTGGGAGAGGGAAACCCTAACCAACGTTAGTGGCCCAGAGGCATCCAACATGGCTCCCTGGTGTGCAAGGCCACCAGTCCTGTACCTTTGTGTGGTGGGACGCCAGGGCCAGGATCGGCGCACCAGGCCTGCTCTTGGGGAGCCATAGGCTCAAACGGCGGAGCGGCAACACATACCAAGTAAACCAACCTCCCTGTGCACTCAGACCCTCCATACACATGAAGAGATACATGCTCGTGCTCCTACAGTCCCCTGAACCCACAGCTTCTTGCATATCTGCAGGCTGCCCCAAGGGACTGAGGAAAAGAACAGGCAGAGAGGCGCAAGTCATGGTAATGGATTCCTTCTGCCCTGTGTGGAGACTGGACACCCTGGGTAAATTGCCCATGCCCACGGGCGATTGCTCCACTTTTCTCAGGTGCAGTCGACATGCCAAGCTCCCCTTTGAATGAGAGAAGAATGCATCTCTGGCCCACGACTGCCGGTGGCTAGCGTATCTCCCGAAAGAAGTGTGCCCCACTATGCACAACTTCACGAAAGCAGCACCGAGACGGTAAGGCATCTATAGTGTCAGTGGTGCTGCTGGCTTTAGACTTTCCAAAAAACGCCTGAGAGGCATCTAATGAAGGTGGTCGGAAGGCCAGGTAGGATTTGCAACTCAAAGGGGCCTGTCCGTTCCTCCGGCTCAGTGGCGCGGCTCTGCACGGCC